GGCCCTCAGGGATGGGGTGTCATCCTTTTTAAGAAGGGCTTACTACATGGATCTCTTTAGGATCCCTGCTTTTCGTTATTAGACTTTCTGATTCAGATTCCCGAGGTCTCGGTTTTTATTTTATTTTTCATGCATTTTCATTTGGGTTAGGTTTGGTCCCCCAAATGAGTTTGGTTGTTTAATTTCCTGTTTTGGAAGGGATGTGTTATACTTCAGGGATGATCGAGAAGTATACTATGTCTACGTAGGAATTCGAACTGTAGAAAAAGAGAAACTTGGAGAAGAAGAAGAACAGAGAGAGTTTATTCATGGAATTCATATTACAAGCTGCCCTCTTTCTCTACCGATCAGTATTATATACAAGGCTAACTATTACAACTAACAAGCTAACAAACTAACAAGAATCAGCTATAACAAGTTAACGAACTAACAAGCTGCCACGTCCTTCCCTCTACCTTATGTATCATGCTGACTCACTGGGAATTTATTCCACGTAACAGGATGCCTTCCGGAGAGGTTTTGGTCTAGTCTCCCTCTCCTATTGTATTTGTTTCTCTGATCGTTAATAAAACTCGGAAAATTTTCCCCGACATTTGCCCCACTGATTTTGGTGATTTGTCTTCCGGGTTGAAAAAAAGTGAGCGTTGCGGGATTCAAAGTTGTGCAGATTAAATGTTGTAGGATAGAGTGAGTATTAATAAGACTGATTTGTTCCTGAGGGGATTCCAATATCCATCCTTAGAGCATCACTAATGTCAAAATGTGTATGTTGCACATGTGACATGAGAGAGAAAAGGTCAGGAGTTTCACTGGACCATTTAGTCTTGGGGGTCCTGAACACCTAATCCTACATTATTATTCAGCAAGATTTGTTGCACGGAATCCGAGTTATGATATATTGTACATCCATGTATAACGTACGGAATATTTATCATGTGTGTACAATACTCTCTTCTACTAGGTCATTGTAATTTTCAATAACAAAAAAATCATAACGAAATTTTCACCACATTTTTTAACCACCCAAAAATAGCATTTTACAATGCATCAAATCCAAATCAAAATGACTATCTAAGCTAGAATAAACTAGCCTAGATATAATGCATCAAAGTAATGGGACATTCCCCAATTCACATAATCATCAATTAAATAAAACTAATTATCGAGTATTTAATTTTCAAGTGCACTTCCTCATTTTTGAAGACCATCTTTCTACCCAGACCCTTTTTTGGTTCAATCTCTAACATTTTTCACCACATTTCTCATCACTTTTACAACATTTTTGGGAGTTTAAAAAGATTACGTCTTAAATCCAATTCATCAAATTCTTTTTTTACTAAGATATTTAGAAATAACTAAATATTTAAACTTAATCATAGTAAGAACTTGTGTTCTATTTTTAAATTTAAGTGGCAAGACGTTTGTGATTCTTGTGAGGGTGGGCTGAAAAATTCATGGCATGTTTTTCTAATATGTCTGTCTACTGTTTCTTGTTGGAGGGAGCTTGGTAATTGGGATTATCTCTCCATCACTATAAATGAAGCAGAGAGCTTTGTGGAGTTCTTCCTTGCACGGGCAGCAGAATTTTCTGAAGAGACATTGAAACTTTTTGGGATGACTATGTGGAGCATTTGGCGAAGGAGGAATGTTTTATATTGGGATGGTATTCGAGAGACCAATACACAAGTGATATCCTATGGAGATGAAATCTTCTGAACATGGGATGCAGCCCAACAGTTAGACCGAGGCACGAAGGATAGAAACACGAATCTGGTCAGATGGAAAAGACCTTCTGTCGACTTTGTGAAGTGTAATGTTGACGCTGTCATTTTTTATAATGCAAAATGTATGGGTTTTGGTGGTTGTGTCCGAAATCATGTTGGGAGATTCTGTGAGGGTAGAACGACATAGATAAGCACAGAAATGAGTCCGAGTGAGGCAGAAGCTTGGGGCTTAAGGGAAGCTATGAAATGAATAAAACAGAAGGATTACAAGAAAGTAATTTTTGAGTCAGACTGTAAACAACTGATTGATGATTTGTATGGGAAGCACGTTGATCGGTCCGAGTATGGATCCTTAATGCAAGATTGCAGGGATCTTTTGATGATCTGTTGTTTTTACTAGGCGACAAGCTAATAGTAGTGCTCATGTTTTTGCCCAGACATTTACTGCTTTTGCTTCTTGCATGGATTTTACTTATACCCCTTATTGTATTTCAAACATTATTATTAATGAAATGAACTAAGTTGTTACTGTAAAAGAAAAGTGACCATGACAATATGACACTATATCATAGCTTCCCTTCGTCGTAGATACCCGAGAGGCAATAATATGCAACCTAAACTTCCAGATTCTCCTGTATGGCGACGGATAATATTCTACCCTTTCCCAACAATCTAAGTAAATTTCAAACTCTGCTACCTTCCCAATGTCCTTTCTGTCGAAATGCATCTGCATATATGGACCACTGTCTCTTCTCTTGTTCCTATTCCAATGAAGTTTGGAAATATTTTATGGGCATCTTCCTCATTCCCATTCCAGATCTACAAATCTCACTCAGACAAGTTTTTACCTCTTGGTGGCTTCACTCTAGTAAGAGCCCACACGAAAACCTTTTTCTTCAAGTTCTTCCATGGGTTATAGCATGGACAATCTGGAAGAGCTATGCTGCTATTATCTGGGGCGACTCTACCATTTATTCTTCCTAGCGAATGATTTCCCTAATCCAATTTCACATGTGGGGCTTGGGCTCATACTCTCCTTAACACCAAATACATGTCTTCTAGTGTTTTGCTTCTTCAGGAACATATGATTCTGAAATGGCCCAACAAGCTCAGAATTGAACGATGGATCAAACCACTGCATAGCATTAAATTTAATGTTCATACTGCTAATGGTAAAACTGGAGCGGTTTTGAGAAACTCGGGAGGTAACTTTATATGTGCTCTCTCCTTTGACTCGCCTGGCCAATCCCTTCTCTTATCCGAACTTCGGGGAATCTTTGTCACATTGTCTTGGGCATGCAACAATGACTATCATTCCTTTATGGTTGAAGTCGATTCCTTAGCTGCTTATTTTTTCCTATCAAGAAGACAACACACGAGTTTACGGGATATCAAGAAACCGATTGATGGCATCCTCAAATTAACCTCTTCCAACAACATCTCATTCACATATTGTTCTTCACAAGTTAATGTTGTTGCCTCACTTATTCCTATTTTTCATTTTAGCTCTAGCTTCAATTGTATCACAAACTATCACTTACTCCACCCTTGTATTCGAGGAGCTTTAATTCTAGATTCTGTTAGCTTTCCTCAAGTACTTCACACGTTGGGGTAAGGCCTTATGTCCCCCCCCCTCTGTACCTTTTGATTTAAATAAAAGTTTCTTAAAAAAGAACTTTTATTTTGATAATGTTTAAAAAAAACACTCTTAGTTACGCATCATAGGATCCTCATGACTACTAAATTTTCACATTTTGATGTTTTGAATGGTTGGAATGTACTCTAGATAGACTCTAGTGTTAGACTAAACGGTGATTTGAGAAGTTTTTAATTGAAGAAATTTTCTAATCTAGTCTAGTATGGTTTGATATGCATAAGTGTGGTTGCTCTGATCTGGTCTAGTACTCTAGTCTGTTGTTCTATGCGTATTTTATAACCGTCGAAATATGATCTGATCTAATTTAGGGCTAAAAACAATTTAATAAAAAACGTTGTTTATCTTTCGTGTGAGTGTGTTTGGTTGTCGTATTTATGAGTACATACCGAATAATTCGCCATGCCGAATAATTCGTCATGCCTCTCGGCCCGGAGTACTTATCCAAATTTCTTTTCCATCCGTCCAAAAATAATACTTCATTCTCTTTTTTGGTAAAGGATTTGTACAACATTACTTACACATTTTTAACTATTTCTCTCTATTCTATAATGGAGGGAGTACTTTATATAATGTGGTATGTGGGTCTGGCCAAAATAATGAATCACTTCAACTGAAGACCAAGTCAGATAGTCAGTACCCACACACTTACACATATCTGTGGATGTGCATTATCTATAGAATTATACATATTCGTTGAATCATTTTTACGACAATTCCAACTTTCCTGTCTAATATTGCAATTAACATTTTGATGTCTATCCATTTTTTAATTTAGAAATGCAAGTTGAACACACACCTTGATACACGTAACACGCACATCTACAAATTTCCTTATTTCAATTTTCAACCTACGTATGTGTTATATACTGGGCTCTGCTTGATGGGCTTCTGCATTTGTAGAGAGATCTATCAAGTCCTAGATCATGTCTGGGTTGCTCTTGTTGAAGCTACTCAGAAAGACTGCATCCAACTTTACTGTAAATGGGCTGATAATGTCTTCTTCAAACATAGACTTTGGTCGATGTTAATTAAGATTGGTTATGTTCAAGTCACATTAACCTACATTAATGATTAAACAATCGGACGGTCTCAATTCTCAAACCCTTCCAAACAGGATTACAGGAACTTTCCCTACTAGCAAGACGTGAAGAATAGATTGGCGGAATACTTGTCTGAAGTCTTCCAAGGTCAAACTACACACTTTCAGTAAAGTGGGCTGTGTTATGTACATCTTTCGTACACTCGTCTGTCTCACGCACACAGAATTGTCAGTACACAGACAACTCTACAGAATTTTATGTGGACAGACAATTTCATTGCTGATTCTAGAAAGGTTTAGGAAATTGGGGCATATTTCAAGATTTCAACTTTGTTGTTGGGCAGGTTGAGTGTTGAGGGAGCAATTGCAAGTGCGGATGCTCTTTCTGTATTCTAACACAAAAAGAGAAATGCACTCTCACGAATTAAACAAAGCATGCTAATTTTGGTATATTCACAACAAAAATCATGAGTTTTCATAACAATTTTTTAATATATCCCCCACACCCTTAATTTAAAAGTTGATCTTATTCATTCAATGCTAATTTCTTTAATTAATTGTGATTTCTCAAATAAAATCACTCATTTAAACCAAAACCTATAAATACACCTAAAATTCATGTTGAAGTCCTTATAATCTACATTTTGTTACTCGCTTTCAAGAAATGAATATTACAGCTCACTTCTTGGCTCAATGGGGCATTGGATCTAAAAACCCAGAGGTATATTCAATGTTCTTAAAATGCACAAACGATCATGATGCTCCAAACTCATATCAATAGACCCTTTTGCATGAGAGAGAACATCATGCTTATAAATGCATTCATTCTTAATTTCCGAAAACTTGTAAAGGGTCGAACTCCGCCCGTTACAACCTTCTTAAGCCAAAAGACTCTTAAGAAACCCATAAGCACACAACGCTCCAACCCATTGATGTGAACTAAATCTATGGGTGTGGGTGTGGGTGTGTGCAAGTACACGTCAAATAAACTCAAAACCCATAAGGAGCCTGACATTTTTGTACTTGTCGCCTCTATGGTCATACAGTGGAACAGAGCGGAAGCCAGCTTTCAACTCGGAAATAGGCAAGCAAGTCTGCCCACCAAATCCATCTTCTCCAGCAGGGTCATGATCCCTAACCACAACCCGAAGCAATGCTAGTTCAGGAAAGCGTAGCTGGAACTTAAATTCATTGCCGTTCCATGTTGGCACCCACTGATCATCAATTCTGTGAGTTTTCTTTGCTCTCGTACGGTCACATGGCATTCCTACTATGCTGACCTACACAGCCATTGTTATTATTATAACTATGAATCTATTGCTGTTTTCATTATGGCCTAACGTTTGCAGCACTTGAATTGATAACAAATGCAGCACCCAGGCGTCGTTTGAATTGATATACACATCTATTATTAGCTGACCTTTGTGTAGAAGTCTGGCGGTGAACAAAAATCAAAATGTCTGAAGTGGAAGTCCGTACGCCACCCTTCTCCCATATATATATTAACCTATGCATTGACACTAAACAGAAGTGAACAAGATCACACCAAGAAACTGCAATCATACAGATGTGAGGGTTATGCTGAAAATAGCAAACCTTCAAAGTTTTTTTTACTGGCAAAGCCATGGGATCAAAAACTTCATCATAGTTTCCATCGCCTAATAGAAATGCCGGTTTTTTCAAATAACCACAGCAGCCATTAGCTCTGAACATCCCTTGCATAATCCACAGATACTTTCCATATCCCTGTATGAAAACATATTGAGTAGAGGGTTGTTAAGACTTGAGAATCTGAGCTCCATGTTAAGACTTCTATGAAGTTCTTTATCTTGTTTTACTGTACTTGCAAATAGCGAACCTGCATGTTAAACGCAACCATCTGAGCTCCATGCATCCATCCAGTAAAAGGATTATAATTTGATGATGTGATGCGCGAACCCTTGGGGTACACTCTCAAAAAGCTCCGTTGTGTAAGCCTTAAGTACAAAAAAATGAGGTTGCATTAAATATCCCGTATCAGGAACCTACCCCATACATCTCCCAGATGCCCACTATATACTCCCTCCGTCCCAACAATAACATGACACTTTGACTATTTGAAATTATAATAATTGTTATTTTTATTAATACTCCATATACAATTTTAAATATTAACGGTTAAAGAACACTGGGGAGTAGGGACAGCAGAAATCAAACTGATAAGTTCATTTTGGGACGGGGAAGTAAGAGAGAATGACTTCCTAATCATATCACAAAGTCTTTTTTGTCAAGACTCGTACTCCGGCTCATATATGTTTAGTTGGGTTTGTTGGGCTTATTTAAACATAAGTTTAAAAGTTATGCACCCTTAAACAACCTGAATAATGTAGATAATACTACATTAGTTACCGGATAAGTTCCTTCCCGTGGCTGTTTATACTAAGTTTAAGTGTTTCTTCACTCATGCTAAGACGAGTAACTTTGTGATCATGGCTGGGTAAATTTTTCATACTACCCTTGAGTTTGCTAGCGCAGATGGCAATCAATTTTTTGTATTCGGTTGTACTCTTTTCATCATCAGCCTCTAAAACATCAGCATCCAAATGGTGAGACTGCAAAGGAAAGTATGATCAAGCAGAGGATATGAAGAAAAAATTAGTCTGATATGGGAATTAGTCAAGGCATTTGGGTGGACCCCATGAGTGGATGAAAGTCCATTGGTAGCAAAACTGGTCTCTTTTATGGAATGTCGTTTGATTACACTCCCAGACTTTGAGTATTTCTTTGGAGGCTTTGTTGAAATCATAACTCTCCCCTTTAGACATTCTGGTGAAGGAAACTCATTTAGATCTGATTCAGGACAAAACAGCATGTCTCCAAAAGTTTGTTTGACCATCTACACACAACCGTGCTAAATTTAGAGGTACTTGGTTACTCATCATTATCTTTAAATTAAATGTTAATCTGAAAATATATATGAAGTATATGATAAACTTTTAAGTTGAATTACCATTGCCACTTTTGCTTGAAGATTTGCATCAAGGTGATCTTCAAAAGTTATTATGACAGGATATTTTGAAGTAACAAATGCATTGTTCTTGATGGCTTTCAAACATTTGATTAGTTTAACCGGTGATGTCAATGTCCTGCATTTATTTAAAAAAATGATCACTTTGTAGCAGTAGTTTTCCTTTGTTTAATGAGAAAGTCTGGCTCCATGGCAGCACACTTTGGCTTATCAGCAGAATAAGCAAAATAAATAGATTTTGTCATTGCGAAAAGTTTTTCTTTTCAGAAAATTCAACAGATTTGATAATTTATGCTAATACAACTTGCTTTTCCCACAACCAGAAAATATAAATAGATCATGGAAAGTAAACTACCTGCCATGACAAACTTTGATGTCATTCTTTCTTGAATTAGGCCAAAGGTCCAATTCGATCACTCTCACACCTTCCTTTAGAGCCTTCACTATGGGTTTGTCACTGCTTTTGCTGCTGAATTGATTTCCAGTGAGATAAGAGTTATGTCCGGTGAATATAAAGTAATGTGCCAAGGGAGCACTCATGTCATGGTGAACCTGGAGACAAGAACAAACCATACCACACCAAACCATTTATTTTAAATAAATAAAAAATCAATAAAGTTCTTAAATGCAGGAGGAAAAAGAGATTCCCCGCCTTTGTGTTGTGGGCATTGTTAAGATCACTTAGCAGGTAATGGAAAAACTGATCAATGTCAAAACTCTTTTGTAGACGCTTCACGCTGTTCAAAATCTTTTCAGCTGTCTCAATGGTTGCATCAGTCTCTTTTTGTTTCTCATTCAAGAATTTGAGTAAGTCATTGGCAGTCATGATTCCATTCTCATCAGAATATTTGCTAAAAACATCTCTTATGTCATCCGGTGCTTCTGCTGCCCTTTGTTTGAAACCAAGAAAACAGCAACACACCCTAAAATGTTGGTGTGCCATCTATAACTCAGGGGGGGAAACAGAATTATGCATGTTGTCCTTCTTTCCTTTTATACAACTCATTTCAAAGCTCTTGCATTTGCTGGCAGTGAGGGAAACCATTGTTTTCGGGGAAGAACTATTTGGAATATTCTATACTTGACCCCATATTGAAGGAAAGAGATCTCTTGTATATTGTTTACTTTATTAAAGCAGTTATGAGGAATAAGGTGCTTACTTGCAGTGGAGCTGAAGGCCTATACTACGGACATGGTTGGGAACGGAAAGAGAGAATAAAATAAGCCTAACCATAAACTAGGCTTCCTAGCTCATGACAACCTAGTCCATATCTTGATATTCATTTGCGATTTTATAAAATTTGAAAGATTAATACTCCGTATAATATGTAATCATACAACATTTGAAGTACCTTTTTATTCGTTTTCACAAACATTCAGTTTATTAAGAAAAAACACTAAGCTGTCTAAAGTCTTGTCCTTCCAACACCTGCAAAACAACCCATCCAAACAGGCCTTACAACAACAACAACAACAACAACAACAACATCCAAGCCTTAAAGGAAGGAATTTGCCAGGTCAAGATATGTAAGACAAGAGTCTGTTCTGAACTGAGTAATTCTTTTAAAGGCTTAAAAACATCTAAAGTAGAAACTAAAGCAAACTTCTTGTTGTCTGAAATAGATATGCGTGTAAGAAAGCTCACCACAGTGAAATTCTCTCCTTTTCTAATAGGAATGTCACAAATGCCTGATCTTAACTTAAGAACAGGTAAGCATATTTGTACTGCCAAGTCGTCCTTCTCAGACATGACACACTCATGCACTTGGATTCTGAGTAATGCTATATCAGGTAAGGCCAACAGGAATGTAAACTCTTCTTAACAGGTCTTTGTCTTATGCATCACCTCATCTTCAGGCACTTCAAGCTGACCCAAGCTGTCAAGATAGTGATTAAAAAACAAATTAGAATCTATCTGTTAATAAGTGGTTAACGATAAAATGAAATCTCGTGTTCCTACCTGAAGGGTGTGATTCGATCAAGGAAAATACTAAAGTCAGGGGGGATGTTATGGAATGTGATTTTCTTATTTTTGAGTTTACCCTGGAAAATTGAAAGGAAAATGAAATGTGATTTTTTTGATCATGTATTACGTATCCCTAATATTTTCCCCTGCCGTTTCTTTCCTTCCAATTTTCTCAATTTCTTTGTTTCTATTACGTATCCCTAATATAGTAATATTTACTGCGATTCAAATCAACCCTTGGTATGTTTGGTTCAAGGAATATCAGATTATCATGAGAATGTCAGATTGCTGGGTATGTTATATTAACGAGAATGTATTCAATTTGTATCCATTTGTGTTTGGTGAATTACTTCAATGTCTTTAAAAATATTTTCTCGTAATACCCTTATTACAATCGTCAGGGTCCCGAGAAAGAATGTCTTCATCGATAGGAGCCTACGTTTTTCATCGATCAAAAAATCAATAGACCATACGTCACCAATAGAATGACCTGATTATTCAAGGACTTAGGGGGCAATTAATTAATTAGATTAGGGGTAGAAAATTAATGGTTGATCCTACTTAGGAAATATTAGATATTGACTCCTATTTAAGGAAAAGTTGCATGTTTGATCCTTCTAAATCATTCTTACTTTATTCTAAATTTATTAATTCATTATCAACCACATTAACTCCTTTATTCTTAATAATAAAACCACCTCCTCATATATTAAGTTATCGATCATTTAAGTTTAAAAGTTCAATATAAGTTATTATGATTAAATTACTACTGTAGTCACTACTCACATTTTTGTAAACAATCTTTATTTTAGTCATAAATATGTAATTATTTCATTAATTTTTAATAAAGGCTAAAGGGTCAAATATGCCCTTGAACTGACTTATACAGCGCAGTACATTTCGGAACCCTTTAAGTCAGTTCAAGAGCCTATTTGACCCTTTAGTCTTTAATAAATCAAATTCAAAAGTATACATTTTGTATTTCTTAATCCAATACGGATGGGTTTGTTTAAAAAAATTCCAATGCGGATGGGTTAAGAAAAATAAAAAATAAATACTATGTATGCTATTTAAACCATTTTGGTTAAATGAGAATGAGTATTTTTGGAATAAAATTCACTCCCACCAAGGAATGTAAGATAACCTAAGAGTTGAGTGAGTTTGAGATGAAGGGACATCCTATTACTTTCTCTTCTTTTTTGGAATGTGACATTCCCCCCATAAAAATAAACCTACGAACCAAACACAGATATTTTAGATTCCGGGCATGAGATTCCGGCCTGCATAGGTGATTACCTTGAACCAAATATACCTAAGGATTCATAAAATGAATTGAAAGTCGGGTGGGGAATATGAGTCAAACCATCAAAGTGAGTTTTCTTATTGATGAAGTGGGTTCATAAAATGAATTGAAAATAGCAACTGAATTGATTTTCTTGATTTTTTCTGATGACCAATTCCGCAATTGCAATTGAAGATTGAGGGGCCACCGAAGGTCGGGGATCTAAATTCAGAGATAATGGAAAAGAAGATAATTGTTTCAAATTCCATGGAGAAGTAGAAAGCACTACAAGGAACAATTTGTATAACACGCACTAGTGACTAAAAATCACCGGCAAAGGCATTAGTGACTAGTGGGGAAAGGACTTAAGGACCTCATGGTAGAAGAGCACTGACAACCAAATGATAAAATATAAAGAAAATGTCTAAAGGAGTAAATTGAAGTGCACATTTAGGAGTTTATGTTTTGCTTTTCCTAAATAGGAGTAATATATTATGTGTACACAAACATACCTTAGTGTTTAGTGTTTAGGGGTAGTGTTTGGCAGGGGCACGTGTCTAAGCACGGATCCAGGATTTCTCATTCCGTACGAAAGAGATGTCTCGAATTGTACAAGAATGGAGGAATGAACACAAAAAATATAATATTGTGCCGTACTGAATTTTTCTAATGATATTATATAGTACCAGTTCTGAGGGGACCTATAGAAATAAAAAACAAAAAACAAAAAACGGCGGTTCAAAGTGAGAGCTGTCCCAGAACTAACCTGAAACTGTATTTAATTGAACCGTCCTAAAAACTGGTTATATTTGTAAGGTGTAGAGATTGTATTACCAAGCCCAATTCGCCGATTTTTTTGGTAATTTACACGAGACTTAAAAGCAAAAGAAATATCACGTTTTTCCTCCTTCAAAGTTTATTTCAAAAACACACATGTTAACATTTAATTTCAAAAAGAGACCATTTGCATGTCACCCATCCCTCGTAAGGTCCTGGAACTCTCCATTGACATCCTACTACATACAAACGGTCGGAATTAGTTAAGCTTTTTTGATCACTCAACGCAGCAGTGCCGCAAGTGGGCAAGTGGTTTGACTCTCCATGCATCCACTTTGTTAAATTTATTATACAAATTCCAAGAATTACTTAACACATGTGTTTAAATAGAAAAAGTGTAAATATTTAGTAAAATATAAAAAGATGAAGATAATTAGAATATAATAAAAGTATTAAAAATAAGATAAAATCAAAAAATCAAATTAAGAAATCAAATAATATGTAATAAAAAAAACTGAGGTTGAAAACTTGTAAGTTAAAATCATAAAAATAAATCACAAAAATGTTAATCAAGAAATATATAGAAAATTTGTAAAATACAAAACTGTGAATAAAAATAATAATCAAAGAACGTATACCCGCTTAATTTGTATAAAAAGCATGTATAAAACAATAAACATATGCAGAGTAAATAATTGAAATTTTTATAAAATAAACAAAAATTAAGAGTGAAAAAAAAACTTACTCAAAAAATGATAAAAAACTATTAAATATTTAGAATCTTTAAAAATAATAAAACTTACAAATAAATGGATTTAGAAATATAAAAAGTATAGTACAACATTATAAACTTTTTATGAAACAGTTATTATTTTAGAAAACGAAATATATTACAAAGTATTAAATTTTTAAATTTGATAAATAAATATATAAATTTGAATAATGTTTAACAATTCGAATTAAATACTACAAAGTATAAAATAAAAAATAAATAGAATATTATTTTCAAAATAATAAAAATAAGAAAATGTAATTCAACTAAAAAGCATGGAAAATATAAAACTATATATAAAAATGTGCAAACTAAAAATAAATTTAAAAGAAAATTTAACATTGAAACAATTGAAATAGTTTTAAAATATGAATTCCGTAATTCATTTTTTAAAATAGTTACAAATTTAACATGTCTTACTATATACTTTGGTTGTTTGCTTTTTGTTGCCCATTGTTTATTTTTGTTTCCTTTTGTTTATAAATCTTTTTTTTTTGTTTTTTGTTGTTTCTCTATGTTTCTTGTGGTTGGTTTATAGGTGTGTATATTCACAAATCAAAATTTATCAATTTATGTGATTAAAGAAATCCCAAATTAAATAAAAACCTAAATGAACAACAAAAATCAAGATCAACAATAAAATATAATAAGTAACACAATGCAACAAAAAACAACATGATGCAACAAAAACAACACTATGCAACAAAAAACAAGACGATGCAACAAAAAGCAACACATTCAATGCAACAAAAAGAAACAAAAACAATATACGGAGTATAAAAATAACACACTAATTATGTAATCAATCTAGTGGGGGGTGATACATTTTCAAGGAATCCTTTACAATCTAAATTGAGATGGAATAGCGGGAGAACACCTCAGCAACACTGGTGGAGTTGGAGATCATACAAACAGCCCGTTGCACCTTGGTCAGGTCACCTCCAGGAACAACTGTCTGTGGCTGGTAGTTAATACCACACTTGAAAGTGGCTCAACCATCAAAGTGGAAACCTACTGCATTGAAAACCAAGTTTGGATTTATTGCCATAGTCAACAGAGATACGCTCCAGCCTCCAGCAGAAGAGATTCAAGACCTGAACCAGTGCCTCCACCTACTGCATTGAAAACCAGGAACCCTTACAGGCCAGTGCAGTTATCAGCAAGCTTGCGGATGTGATCCAGGCAGATGTCAACAATCTCTTTCACAAAACAATTGAAATGAATAATTTTGTTAAATTCAGTAGCAAGTGAGGAAAGGATTCAAATTGGATTTACCTTTACGTGCATTGTCATAGTGTCTTTGTCTCTTCATTACATTGATTTCAATTACTCAATTCTTTAGTATCTGGAACATCAATAATATCCAACACTGCATCAAAGTTCCCATTTAGAGCTACTTCAACATCCTAGAATGAATAAAGACAAATTTATCATGAAAATAAAAATTATAATGGGCAAGAAAATTTCAAACTGAAGTCACGGAGTAACATTTTTTCATCATCACAAAATGAGGAGTCGGTAATGGAGAACCATGCACAAAACAAACACACATATCTACATTTCTACTATAATCAACTTCCTGCTCAAAGTTAGTAGCCAAAATGTGATGTATAGGACCAATGCAATTGTTCTGTTAAAATTTAAAAGCCTAGAGGCATAGTTTAATCCATTCATTTTGCCATCAAATTTCTATTTAAGCAAAGTTTAATATATACTAGAGGTATAATATATCCACATCAACCACAGGTATAATATATCCACATCAACCAGATAAAATAGGCCTACATAGTTCTCATAGGGATCAACAAGTTAACTCGAGCAAGATTGAGGTCCATAATGGATGAAATTCCATGCTTAGTCAATCGCTTTTCTGTTCGGTTTGGTACGAACGAGGAGGAGCATATCTGGTTGCTTTGTGATTGGGGTGGTTTGTTTTGCTTTCGGGCAGGAGTCGCTGGTTTTGAGAAGTTAAATGAATATTCGGAGTTTTCTCTCTAGGGCTTCGACTATGTCGGCCGTTGGAGTCTTTTTCGGATTTCGAATTTGTCGAAGATCGGCTTTGTATTCCCTTGGTCGGTGGTGCTCGGATGGAGTCCAGGTCAGACGCGGAGGGCGGAGATCGGTGGAGGAGGGCGGATTCGCTGTCATGGCTCGAGGAGATTGGCGCTGTGGTCGAGGTTCGAGGAAGCGGTGTGGCTGTCGTCGTTGGAGAAGATCGGCGCCGCTTATCCGTTTACTCTGGTCGTACGGAGCAGGGATGAGTTTGGTTATGCAGAAACGGAGGATTGATGCTTGGTCTTTGGCAGCCAAAGGTCATGGAGGATCAATTAGCATGGTACCAGTGGTACGACCTCCTCCTGAATAAGTATGGCAATGGGGACGGGGACCCGTGGGGAACCGCCCCGCGGGTGGGGCGGGGCTTGGGGCGGGGTGGGGACGGGGATGGGTGAGATATTTTTACGCTGTTAAAATATGGGGCGGGGGACGGGAATTGCTACACCCGCCCCGTCCCCCGTTATAAATATATACTCAAACACATATACACACACATATAAATAATATAATGTACAAACATATTAAATTAGATTATATGCAGTATATAACAAACACATATACATATATATAGACATACATAACTGTGTAAGGTTGAGTCATGGTTAATGAATCAATACATATTATACTAGAATAATAATAAGCTAGTAATGATTAAAAATATTTATCATAAATGTTATATGAGTTTTAAGAGTGAGTAAATAAATACACACACATTTAAATGTAATGTGTAATTAATTGTATGATAATTGTTGAGAATATCGAAACGATGTACATAATGATTATATGTTTACTTATGTTTTTACTTTAACTGTCTTTGATTTACAAAACTTACTCAAATTGAAGAATTATTAAAATTGGCGGTATTAACTTTTAACAAACACAATACTTCAAGGTTATATATATATTATCTGCGTTTGTGTAGATATATGTAGATTTAGGATCAAATGGTGATAATTGTTGAGAATATTGAAACGATGTACATAATGATTATATGTTTACTTATGTTTTTACTTTAACTGTCTTTGATTTACAAAACTTACTCAAATTGAAGAATTATTAAAATTGGCGGTATTAACTTTTAACAAACACAATACTTCAAGGTTATATATATATATTATCTGCGTTTGTGTAGATATATGTAGATTTAGGATCAAATGGGACAATGCTTAATGTGAGAACGTGTGAACATACATCACATTTATCCCCAATGTGACGCACAATGGGCTCGCACAATGCACTTTTTCGTATCAAGCATAATATTTATAAATGTGTCACCGTGATTATTTATATTAGCTTGTATTGAGCAAAGTCCAAATGTGCACTAGAAGGGTTCTATTGTGTATAACATTGGATTAAATGTGAGTGTTCTCACATTAAGCATCATTCTCATTGGAACCGCACCACATATATTTATAATGGATTAAAAGTATATGCAAATACGATAAATTAAATCTATATGGGGGCACCCGCGGGCACTGTCGTATTGACCACATCGTGTCATTTATAATGTTGCTTCCCACTACATGGTTAGCGGTTCATGTTGCTCTCTCAAGAGTGACCGTCTCAAAGTCTCACCATAGGGTTAAAGTCGTAGTTGTTCGAGTTTCAGTTGGTGTCAGTTTTATTTTCCATGTGCTTGATTTAATGATCCTAAATCTTTTTATATGAATAATGGCCTGTTTTGATGATAAAAAAACAAGTTATCAGCTTATTGTAAACAGTCGTTTAACCAAACACTATTTTATAAACAACTAACACTATCAGCTAATCAAAACAGCTAACAGAATCAGCTATCACTCATCAGCCAACAGCCAACGACCAATTGCCAAAGTTACAACTTCCATAGTTCATTTGATCATAAAATAATCCCTTTTTATTGGTGTACTCGTGTAAAGTAAAAAAATGCATGAAGACGAAGGTTCCCAAATTGAGCTTCATTTTCAAATACCACATCTTTGTGGCATGAAATATTATTGACTTTCCCCAAGTGATGAAGCATACCAGGCCAAACCACTATGACAAACCACTATGATTAGATCACATACTATTTTTAGATCACAAAACCTATTTTCATTACTAATCTTCATGTAGATCACTGATCACATACTGGATTAGTGATATACCACGTTTACTTATCATTGGGAAGAATTCTATCAAAGCAACAATATTACCGCAATTTTTCTCAGACAAATAACCAATATGTCTCAACTCCTAATATATAGAATAACAACTATGACACGATGTGGTCAATACGACAGTGCAAATGCTATACCCTTCTCCGTGTGCAAAAGTTGCCTCTCGCATTTCGACTTTTGAGGAATAACTCACAGGCTGTTGATTCCATCTTTGGTCGTTGTTTCAAACTTTCACTAATTGAGGCTGGAACCATAACGGCATAACAATCTAAGCAGCTGATGCAGGCCCATGCTCATCTTGTATGTCTGAATACACTAGATTTATGTATGGTGTAATGCTTACTTGTTATACCGGAATTATGTTCTCATTCTAGATTTATGTTTTCTTTACTTCATCTTAGGTAGACATCAGGCACTATACAAGCTTCTATTACCTCCCCAATCATCGTGTATATGATAGACTGAGTGTTCTGCTAATGGGTAAGGCAGAAAGGGATAAACTTTTTAGGTTTTATTACTTGTTTAAAGTATGTGGAGTAACTTCTGCAATGAGGCACACTGTTTTCTTATAAAGTCTTATACTCTTTGCTAAACCCAAAAGTATCTAACAGCTTTGGGCTATGAAGTAGGACCCTTCTCATATTAACGATTGCCAAAAGTATTTCTCTAGAGTATAAGCTATAACCCCCTCAATATATTGGGCATGCTGTTAGTAAAAGTCCAAACTTGGGGTGCAATCCAGTAGCTCTAAGGAACACATCAATGAATTTAGCCAATGCAGGTATAGTCGTATAGAGACAATCTGAAAATTCTTTTGCACAGAACAAGGAGACAGTTGCTTTTATAGTTCTATACCATATTGAGATTTTATTTCATCATGGATATTCCTAGACCGGAAAGATGCTATTAAGGGGGTGTTTGGATCTGATTCTCAAAACTGATTCTGCTCCTTCAGGGAGCAGAAGCAGAAGCTGGAGTGTTTGGGTGAAATTCCAAAAGCACTTCTGGAGCTCTAATTTACTCTCAGAACCAGTTTTTTTAGAAGCTGGGGGGTACCAGCTTCTGAAAACTGATTCTGATTCTGCTTCTGCTTTTAAAAAGAAGCAGAAGCAGAAGCAGAATCAGTTCCAAACACCCCCTAAGCTATTTAGCCTTTGTTCGTGGACAAGCAGGGCACTCGAGAATCAGGGAAGAAACAAAAGAAAAAGAATCAAAAGTTTTCTCTTGTTAGGTAAGCAAACAAATAACTTAAGGAAATGGGGAGGAAATAAGTTACAGAAGGAATTCAGCTCCTCTTACGAGAAGAAAGGAGGGAAATCCTCCTTTACTTCAGTATCTCCCTCTTGTTTCTCTCCTGCCAACCAGGGTACAAAATCTACTCCATTTCCTTGATATTTCTCTTCTCAATCGCCTTTCTGAATCATTTCTCCCTTCCCTCATTTCTCTCTTTTATAGCGCAACAATATAAAGAACAAGCAACCATTGTAAATGATAAATGATGACCATTTCCTCATTCATTTTGAAAATCAAAGGGATTGGAAACACTGACCCCATAAGATGGCATCAAATTATTATTTTAGATAAAAACAGTCATTGCATTACAACAATTTATGCTTCTAATGGTTTCCAACCAAAAGTATTGGAAATGTATAACAACATAAGCCAGTAAACACAAAGGCATTCGAGATTGACATACGATCTGGGGGCCTCCATGTAAACCTCAATCAATCCATAACTTGACTAAAAATCGAATCTTTGAAATACCAGCATTCACTCAGAGCGGTTCGCATACCTCTCGACGTTGTTGTCATTGAGATTGATTCCAACCATAGCCTCTCCAAGCCCACAGCTTATGTCAGCAAGCACCTCTGGATCACTGTAGTGGGTGACTGCCTGTACGATGGCCCGGGCCCTTCTTGCCGGATCTCCACTCTTGAAGACGCCTGAGCCGACGAACACACCGTCACATCCCAGCTGCATCATCAGCGCGGCGTCAGCTGGGGTTGCCACCCCTCCAGCAGCGAATTGGACCACTGGGAGCCTTCCCAACTGCTTCGTCTGCACAACCAGATCGTACGGCGCCTGAATCTTCTTGGCGAACGTGAACACCTCGTCGTCGTCCATGTTGCGGAGCAGCCGGATGTCGCCCATCACGGACCGGACGTGACGGACGGCCTCGATTATGTTGCCGGTACCCGCCTCTCCCTTGGTTCGAATCATCGCGGCTCCCTCCCGGATGCGTCGGAGAGCTTCGCCGAGGTTCCGGCAGCCGCAGACGAACGGGATCCGGAAATTGTGCTTGTTGATGTGGTTGGCGTCGTCGGCGAGTGTGAGGACCTCCGATTCGTCCACGTAATCAATCCCGATTGCTTCGAGGATCTGGGCCTCCACGAAATGCCCGATCCGAGCCTTGGCCATGACCGGAATGGTGACGGCCTGCTTGATCTCCTTAATCATCTGAGGGTCGGACATCCGGGCGACGCCGCCCTGAGCTCTAATGTCTGCGGGGACGCGCTCCAGAGCCATGACGGCGCAAGCGCCGGCTTCCTCAGCAATCCGGGCTTGCTCAGGTGTGACGACGTCCATGATGACGCCGCCGCGGAGCATTTGGGCCAAACCCACCTTCACGGAGAAGGGGGATTTCTTTGTGGTCTCGGCGATAGCGGAGTTCGCGTAGAGCGTAACCACGCCGCTTTCGGACATCTTTGCTGTCTTGGAATTTCAATCACCGGCGATCGGAGGCGCGAGTGAGAGTGTCCAAATGAGGAACGTTGAGCGGATGGGGATGGAGCCCTAACTAAGGTTTAAGATAACTGATCACACTAAAGAATTTTGTTTATGGATCTACACAAATTACAACCACGCGCTTTATTACTCCGTGTTTCTCATACTCCGTACTAATTACACTTGAGAAAGTGTTGAGTGAGGAGGGACGTGTGGTCTAGTCTATTTTTAGTCTGATATGATATAATCTAGTTTATTTAAGTTTGATTTAAATACATGTTTGATCAATGTATATTGGGAAATTACAAAAGTAGGAGTAAAACGTTTTGAGATTAAAAAAATATTGTTGTGTTTATTCATTAAATAGGTGTATAACTGCAAAACTTAGAAAATAATGTCATGTTTAAACTTTGATACTGCCAAAACATGACAGTAATTACTTCTATTTAGGGAAGAAAATCATGACAGTCCTATTTTGGAATACGTAAATTTTTTATTCCTATTTACAGCAATTTTGTGTGTGTATTTTCTAACTGTTAAAGTCTAATATGATTTGGTTTGACATGATCTAGGATTAAAACAAATTCAAGTAAAACATCCCAACTAAATTGTGCAAAAATCATATTTTGTATTTAAATGGTGACTGCTTCTTACACCTTTAACATTACTTAATCTAACATTATCTAACTAATATGTTTACTAACTTTTAGGATGCTTTTAATTGAATTGTAATTTTCTAATCTCGTCTCGTCCAGTAGATGTATAGTCTATGTGTGTTTTACTACTAGCGAAATCCAATTTGGTCCTATTTGTTTAAATATGATCTGTAATGAAATCGGTGTAATTAAAAACATGTTAGCATTGCATCCACCAATACTAAGCACCATGAAGTTAACATCGGTAAATTTAATCTAACTTTACCTAGATCCTCCATTGTCACGGACTCACAGGTCTAACATTAGACCACACTTTTAGTTACTCCCTCTGTCTCATTGGATATTGTCTACTTTGATTTTAGTGTGTAATTTGAAAAATAATATGTGTGATTGATCTTTGTATAGATGAGAGAAAAATAAAGAGAACCATAAATTTATTATGTTAAAAAAAGTGACAAAGTTTTGTGACAAACAAAAAAGAGAGTTGCCAAAGTCCAAGAAAACAGAGTTTATTGTAGCTAGTCCCCTTTAACGTTGTGTTTGGATGATGTTTTAGAAGTATTAGTAATGGAAGTGTTAAGAAATATGAGAAAATATAAGTGTTAAGCATGGATATAGAGTGATATTATATTTCGCATGAGTGTGACTCTAAGACAAGTGTTATTATATCTCCTACTGATATGGTACTTGATATTCGTGTAATTTCCGATTGTATGTTTGTATTTTTAACTAATTTTTATTAGTTCTAGTTGTGGAAATTACACACTTTTGGTGTAATATTTTATTTTCATTTTTTTTGTAATTTGTTTAGATTAGGATTATTCTGAGCTAAACAGGTCAAAGATCATCCAAGGGATCAAGATTGGACCTTAAAAGATCAAGGAAAGTGCAAGGAGACAAGAAAGATTTCGATTTGGAAAAAATACTCATGTACCCTGTCACGCCCCGGACCTACCGGACATGTCAACAACCCGCCGTACAGAGTACGAATAGTCAACCGCAGTCCAACTCATCCATACTATACTAGGCGTCTTGAATACCATTCACACATAGTACATCCATAAACAAACATAATGTAAAATATTCATTTAAAGCAGCGGAAACATTTAATACAAGTGTTTATGCCACACTTTGGCAAACATAGGCATACAAGCCCCCAAATAATTATTCAAAAAAAAAATATCTATGAGCATTAATTTAAATGTTTTTAAAACAGAGGCGGAGGAAGCACGAACCACGTCTTCCTTCCTGGATTTTTCCGAAGCAACGGGCACTGGTAGCAAGCTCAACTCCTACCTGAAACTGTGAGGTAGCCTCCCCCGTGAAGGGGAGGTCAGTACTTGGAAGCATTTGACAAGTACAATGACAACTATACTAAGTATAATCAATGTTTCAATTTCTCTGACCCTCAAATAGAGTGATATCATAATATAATGATAGTTCTTCTTTAATCCTTATTATCTTCATAATAAGTTAATTAATTAATTTGTCGGCACACAGTCCCTTTTTATATTTTATTTCATTCATCGTTTACACGACACCGCCCGTAGGTCTTATCATCCTTACGAGACTTGTCACCGCTCTCCGAGGCCTCATCGGGCCCTCGGGCTGGAGTCCAACATCCCGCCCCTGGACTCATACCCATCATCTCGTAGGAAGGTAAGGTCCATTCGGGGTCCTATCTTAAGTGTTACCGCTATCGGGAGCCTCGTAAGGTCTCCGGTTCGGATTCCACCCTAACCCGTGATCACGATGTAAGTCCATGCTATCCAAGCCCGCTCTCTAGAGTCGGGAAGGGCCATGGTCCTTACTATTTACCAATATTCTACCGGCTATCCTCAAGGACTACCGAAATACACCCGTAGGCCAATCCTACATCTAGGATCAATATAATATTCACTTTACCTTGGGTATCCCTTAAGGCCTACCCATAGTATCACTTAAAGTTCATACTTATCCACCTTAGTATCTCTTAAGACTACAAAAGGCTCAACATTTCACAACCCAAACCTTGGATCAATTCTAACATATTCTCATTCCAACACCCCGACTAGTATCTTAATACTAGTCGGATAAATTCCAACAAAACCAATTTTCAGTTCATAGTCATATAGACAACTTTCAAACTAATTTTCCATTGAAAATATAGTTCACATCAATATACAAAATATAACTTTTAATCACTCATATACTCTTATATGAAGTTAAAATTATATTTCAACATATAGTTTATAGTTAATTCCTTTATCAAGCCAACATGCTCATAACACATAATCATACACAATTTATTCTTAAATTTGTATATTATGCTCCTTGTTCTTATAGACAACAGTCTTCTCATTCTTAGGCATTATTAATCATTAATAATCCTTAAAAACATATTTAATTACCTTAGGTAATCTCATGAAATTAACTCACTAATTATAAGCAATATAGTCAGTCATCCTCACCTTATGAAGTGCTGAAATAGTTGCCTTTGTTAATCCCTCCGATCAATCCCCGTTCTAAACCGATTAGAAGTGGAAAATTTGGACAGCAGACGAAAGCCGGGCAGCTTTTGCAAAAGGTGGGCGGCTTTTGTGGTCTGCAGCTACGAACAGCTTCCTTTAAGTGGCGGTTTCCGGCGATTTCGACTCCTATCGATTCCACGACTCTTCTAAGTTAAATACCACCACTTTATAACATTATTCTACACTTTTAAACGTGTAGAACTCCATGTTTAACCCACCATTTGATTTCTTAAAAATCATACAACACAAAACTAGTTAATGAAAAATAATTGTGTTCTTACCTCAAGAACCTAGCCTTTTGTGTTGGGTTTCCCTTCCTAATGCTTCCTTCAAGCTCCTTGTTGGTAAGGGCTATTTCCAGAGCTCCTTATCTCTCTATTCTCTCGTGTGGTGCAAAGTGAGGAGCAAGAGAAGCATCCCCCCTTGATCAAGGCCAAAAATAATGCCAAGACAAGACAAGGGGTATGGGGTTTTGTCTCTACGAGACTTCCCTCTGCCTAGCACGCCCCTCCCCTATGAAAATGTCCCCTCCTCATTTTGTGTGAGTCTAATTAGTTTGTAGGATACCCCAAATGGGTGTAGGAAGTTTCTCCCCATTATTCCTGCTATTTTTGGCAGGTTGGGCCATAATTGCACTCAGGTTGCCCAAATATTTTTATCAACTTTAGTTGGCACTTTATTGGGCTTCTATAAATATTACGATAACCCAACTAAATATATGGTAGCACATTCTCATTTTTATGGACCCGATAAATAATTTAATTAATCACACATTAATTAAATATATCAATTCTGTCACACAAATTTTATTCGCTAGGAAATTCAAATTCGTATCAAATTTCAAATTCAAGTACATCCGGGTGCGGTGTCACATACCTGGTCGGGTATCGCCTATACCTGATCGGGTATTCGCTTGATTAGATTGTCCAAATCAAATCCGGGAACAAATGATCGTGAGAGCAAATTTTCGTGAAGATTTGTCACATACCCGATCGGGTATGCCGACATACCCGATCGGGTATGCCGACATACCCGATTGGGCAATTTCCTAATATACCCGATCGGGTATCCTATATACCCGATCGGGTATCAGACCCTGCAGCTCCCAAAAGCCTATAAATACACCCCTTTCCTTCACAATAAAATCACCAATTCCTATATACTTCTAAGCTCAGTTTAGACAAGTTATTTCTTTATATTTTTTTCATGTTTAGTCTCCAAATGAGGAGCTAAACTCTTCCATCTTGGTTTTGCTACTTTGAAGCTTAATGAATTTGTAAGTTGTGACTTATTCTCTTTAATCTTCTTCCTTGAATATTAATTCTTCTTTTAAATACTATTTCTATATCAATGTTGGGGAGTGTTACTAAGATGACAATTAGTTAACATCTTGACATTAGTTATAGTAATAGTTATTTCTTCCTCTACGTTAATATTGGGGAGTGTTACTAAGATGACAATTAGCTAACATCTTGATATTAACTATAGTAGGATTCATCTTCTTTAATATTCTTCCTTGAGTATTAATTAATTCCTATTCATATTTCATATTAATATTTTGAACATTACTTAAAGGATCAACTAGTTTTGTTTCATATATTAATTATTACTAGAATCGATCGACGAATACGCTTGTTAATCGTTCGATCGTTTCACGGTAGTAAACTTGGGTTATTAATGCATGTGTTTCATGGTTAATAAACCAAGGGGAATTAATTATGTTGATTAAACCAATAAACCGCTTGTGTTGAAGTTATCAATCTCAATCGTTTTCATCTTGATTTTATTGCTACTATCGGGTTAATATACGGCGCGTGTTCTATATTAACTCGGTAGTAAGTTTTATTAATGAACGCGTCTCATTATTAATAACTACCCTCGATGAACTGGATATACTCCTCGATTGAGTATTCGAGAGAAAGATAGTTAAAGATATAACCGGGATCGACGAACATTTCATTAAGTGGATAAAAGCAAAGTCAAGT